GGTACTTCACTTTAATGCAATGGAACGCAAATATGCCTTAAAAATAGAAAAAGTTATCATTAATATTGGAGAATTTGTCATTACTTTATCATCTTTATAATTAATATTTGTATACTTATATTCTGCAGACCATTTTTATGAAGCTGACACACTAATTGCGGTCACTGTCTAATTTACTGGATTATTAACCAATTAATCAACCTAATTTTTGATAACGTTTTAATTTTAAAGATTTTTTTATAAATCGTATGAAGTACACTGAATAAATTATTATTTAGTATTTCACTAACTGATTTTAGATTTTAATGCATGCATTCATCACATATAGGCGCGATTTTCTTTCGCTTATCTGCTTTTCCCTCACGCTAGGACCTTAAATCCCTTTTTTTTCTGCCAAATTTTTCTTTGAAGAGATCAAATATGCCGACTGCAAAAACAGATTCTATGCGGGGGCTGGCAGTTTTTATTTCTGACATTCGCAACTGCAAAAGCAAGGATGCTGAGATCAAAAGAATAAACAAAGAATTAGCTAATATTCGGTCTAAGTTTAAAGGTATTTATTCTCATATTTTCTTAAATACAGGGGACAAAACTCTGGATGGCTACCAGAAGAAGAAATATGTGTGCAAGCTACTTTTCATATTTCTTCTTGGTCATGATATCGATTTTGGCTACACTGAGGCAGTTAACCTTCTCTGTTCTAACAGATACACCGAAAAGCAAATAGTAACACAATATTGTATTTAATTCCTTAGGGCTATCTTTTTATCTCTGTACTCATTACCGAAAATCATTCCTTAATGAACTTGGTTATAACTCGCCTAAAGGATGATCTTTCTAGTCGTAACCCCGTTTTCGTCAACCTTGCACTTCAATGCATCGCAAATATTGGAAGCAGGGAGATGGTTGAAAATTTTCAGGATGAGATTCCTAAGCTTCTCGTTTCTGGGTAGCCGTTTTTATAATTTATTTTCTTTAGTGAGACTATCGACTCTATTAAGCAAAATGCCGCTTTGTGTATGCTCCGACTCATCCGAATAGCTCCAGATTTAATTGTATATGGGGAATGGACGTCTCGTGCAATTCACCTCTTAAATGATCAGCATTTAGTTAGTCTTAATTTAAAATTTAACCTCATTAGGGTGTTGTTACTTCAGCCGTCAGTCTTATCGAAGCGTTGGTTAAACGAAACCCTGAGGAATATAAAGGCTGTGTCCCTATGGCAGTCTCCAGGCTAAGTCGAGTACTTTATTTACTCTACTTTGGTTATTTCCATATATAATTTGCAAGCCAATGAATTGTACTATACCTATTTTGTGCAATATTCTAGTTAATCACCTCATCCTATACGGACCTTCAAGATTATACATACTATTTCGTGACTGCTCCTTGGTTATCTGTGAAGCTCTTAAGACTATTGCAAAATTATCCTCCTCCTGGTAAATATTTTGTTGCATTTTTTCTTGTGTTTACTACTTTTTCTCGTGTTTAATTTTAATTTTTACTTATTTGAATATACTAT